TTGGTTTGCAGCTATTACCCGACTTTGGATACTAAGCTCCGGCATCTCTGAGGGTGGGAGTGTGCAGATGATCACGATGCTCGAGCATATCGTGTATATCAACAGCATGAAATTTCAAGGGCTCATACTAGAGAGTATGTGAGATGAATTGTAAATGTATTTGCTTGATTAGAGTCGTACACAATCTGTCCATGGCGAATACTCACAATGAATGTTGAGCTCTCCGACGAGGGTCCTATCCCCCGTCCACCATGGACATTATATCTCAACGTACATGAATCGGGATCCAGTAAAGCTGCGACACAGTGCTGATACTGAATGCGTGAATACTGAATATCTCATTTTTCGTGAGCGGGGCGGTCTTGTAGAGACTTGACGGCGTGCCCGCTAGGAGACATTGGCTAATATGGAGCTGTCCAGACCGGCAACCCGTTTCTTTGCCCGTGGGCCTCTTTTTTAAACCGCCTACGACCAGACTTAGCTAAGCCGGCTCTCGTGCTATATGAGGATATTTCTTATGATTCATCTCCAATACAAAGTGTTCGAAGGTCCAGCCGCAGGTGGTGCCAGACGCTACGACGAGGCAAATCAACAGGACTACAATAACGACAGTGCATTCATGTAAGAAAGGCAAATCATTCTTTTGGTTCTATTATGGCAAAGAATGTTTCAACTAAGTTTCCTACTGTGTTGCTGCTTCCTTACCCACTAGAAGAAATGCCAGCTTAATTCGGAATACATACTGCCAACGGTGCCACGAAACCATATCCAGGTGTAAAAATGCCCATGATGTAAGCTGCAAGTTCTCTGTAAACAGTCAGAGATATGACGAGGTAAGACTTGCGAAGGTATCCCGTGACTTTTAAAGCGAACAGGTCTATGGCCATCGCATTGAGCTACACGAGGTGATCTACTAAAGTGGTATGACCCCTCACTTGGAAGGGTAGTAAACTTCGACTCCTTAGCGATTTCTCAAAATCCCGAGTGTTTGAAAGTGTATAAATTGATGTTGTAACTTTACGTTATATGAAAGCAAGTTCTGTCTTGTTTGTAAGTGTTTAGTCAACTTGAGCGGAACAAGCTCGCGTCTCCACTGCCAAGCCAAACATAATTAGATCCTGCCTTGACGATGAGCCCTGAACAGTGTTGCTTATGAGGGATCCATAGTGTTGTTTCATAGGACGATCCAGCTAGTCACCCGCTCAACGGTCCGCTCAATAGAGGTTCGATACAGGCGTTTTTACCCCTGCAAATCCAAACCGGGAGTTGTAAAGTGTTTGCTTGCTACACGACTACAAAACTTAACTGTGATGAAGATGTTCGAACTTCAATAGAGAGAAGGGGAAATCCTCGCATTATATTCTTTAGCCCGCATGAGCCGGTAGCATATGTGAAAGTTGTCAAGGGCGGAATGCAGAGTGAGAGGGGGGCACCGGGGGCTTTCACTTTTGTCTGCACCTCCGAATTCAAGGACAGATGTCCAACATATGGGTGTATGGCTGCCCGCCAGGCACTCTTACTGCTACATGGATCTTTCCAGAGAACCGGGTAACCTTTGTCTCGTGATAACTGTCATCAGCTTTCATGACTTCTAAAATACAAAGGATGACATAGCATAAACTCATAATGCGTGGTTCAGGGAACATCGTATCAGAAATGGCAGCCTCGAAAATAGTAGGCAAGTGTCAGAGGCTGTGGTACAGAGTGACAGGTTGACTAAAGGTAGGTATGAGAAAGGAACTTCATTCCTCTTTGAACAACCTATTGTTTTTTGGGAATACAGGGGTCCTTATATGAGGACCCATGGTGCTGCACTGGTATTCATAGGGCTCCGGGTCCAGTGTCTAAGCTCTGAACAGTCTGGGGTTCCGGGAAGTTTGCTGTCCTTGTGATGCCAGCCACTAATATAGCCTTGTAGTTGTGGCTCCAAGACATAATGTTAGCCTCATGACGACAAAGTAGTTTTCAACACGGCCTTTGCCAATAAGTATTCCATGGAAATGTCTGTAAGCTGCTCTGTTCTCGGATTTTCACGCCAATACATTGAGTAGCGAAACACTTTGCGTTCTTGCATGCGCCAAGTGTTGTCTGTGCCATAGGATCGAAGACGAGTATAAACAGGGGCTAGCGAGACATAAGAATCGGTGCTCTCTATACCCTCAGCTCGAAGGCCTTGGCAAACCATACCGTCTGCTGGAGAAACCATCGGCCATGACGAGGGTCACTGTCGGAAGAAGGGGCAGTAGCTTCTCGAGTTTTCTTTCCTATGCTGCGTAGGTTGAATACGAGGACCAGTTGGAGAAAGTTAGGACATAGTCTCTACTAAAAGCGCTATGATAATAGTATAGCTCTTCGGATTTATTACTAGGTCTCTCAAATATGTGTTCTTACCCCAGCAATTATAGGGCACGATAAGTCAAACAAAGCTCTGAGGCAAGATGTCTTGCTTGTCATCATCTCCCAACCTTGTTCTTTGCGTACAAAACATGTAATCTACACGAAGATGCATAAAGAAAAGACTCTGTTAAGGCCCTGTATAGATATTTTCCACAGGTCCTACCATCGTGGCATGGAAGGAGCCATATTCATCTTTTAGTACAAAGAGTGCCATGCTCACACAAGCACAACCTCAACAAGGAACCCCCAGCCTGAGATCAGACCGTGAACTATAAAGACGCGTTCTATTACCATTAGATGGTGCAGGGTACGAGCAGTGTGTTCCCGAAGCACACCAGGATGTTGGTGAGATCCGAGGCGCATCTGCCTTGCACATCTCCCTTGGCGCAACACAGATACAGCAGCATGCATTGCCTTATCATCGCTGTGATGACTGCATCTACCTCGGCAGTCACGTGGTTGAGATCTCTTGAGGTATAAGCAACACACTTTACAACATTTGACTTGCACGAGACAAAAGATTGATTGAGACCACTTTCGAGGGGCTGCCACAACCAATCGCACTTTCTTGACCTATCTATTCAAGCTGACGTACTTGTTACAACACGAACAACGTGATAGACATGGCCTAAGGCTAAAAATGAACAGGTTGGCCTAATGGTTGATGTAGAGCACACTGTCGTCGTTGCCGTCGTGACCGTGTGTAACCCCAACCCCACGTATAATAGGAAGCGAGAGGGCAAGGGAGTTATGGTAAAAGGGACAGAAGCTCTCGCACGTATGCTGTCTACCTTGGAAAAGTGGTGGCGTCGCATATGAAAGCCGCGTGAAGGCTGGACACCTGCGTTATGCTCGGCATGGCGACTCGCCCGCGTGCCCTTACCCTCTCTCAGTTTGACGATGCACCCCGCAGGTATATGGCTTGCCTTTTGGGTTCACAGATAGTTGGCAGGCAAGGCCACTGGGTTGGCTACTTGACTATGACGTACACACCCTTTCCCGCGAAGAGCTCGATAGGTTCATCAAGAGCACACAGACTTCCAAGCGCAACTCAATCGGCGTCACTAGAGAGGCGGGAAGGTTTCCCAGGCTGCTCAGTGCTCAGCAAACCAAGAAGTTGGGCGGTATCGCCACCGTACTCCAGACAGGAGAAGCTGAGCCCCCCCGTCGGTCCACGTTGAAGTAGGAAAGGAAAAAAAAAAAAAAGTCTTTGGTTTGATTTGCCGGGATAGACGCTTGTGGCTGACTTGTGAAGGCGCACCCTGCCATCCCCGTCATGAAATTTTCTTGAGACCATCTGCATCTGGGATTCGGACGGACGAGATCTGGATGACTTGGAAAAAGAAAAAAAAAGGATCCAGAAAGTCCGTACTGTGCGAGTTGGGGAAGGGCGGCCACAGAGCTCAGTCTGGCCCCCCGAGCAAAAGGTGGCTCCGCCTAGTTGGGCGTATGTCGTGCATCCGTCTCGTGTTGAGGCAATCACGCATCGCAATCCCTCCGAGAAACGCCTCCTGCCAGGCGCCTTGGCCAACTCACCTTACTCGGCAGAGACGGAACGCGAGGAAAGGGAGGGGGGGAAGAGGACCGCCTTTCGCCCCAAGTCAGGGCCACACAAGAGCGAGAGAGAGAGGACGATAGAGGCCCAGATAGTCCAGGCCGTCATCGAAACGCTCATCAAAAAGCGTTGAGACAGAAGAAAAGTAACGACCGCAAAGAGGCCCCGTCAATTCGATGCTCGTCATGCCTTGCCTCGCACGCCCACCCACCCCCGGAACTCCCGCGACTCGATCCGACTCGCGTCGCCTCTCCGACTCCGGTTTGACGGATGTTGGCCGTCCAGGGTGGGAACATTGACCACCTCTGTGTTGGGCCTCTGCCCTCCTCCACCTCTCCGAGTTATGACCTTGTCCACCGCCTGGGATATTTCCTTCAAAGTAGGTGGAAGGACGAAAAGAAAGCCCAAAGAGACTGGGCTTGGTCGTCTTATGCATGGAGGGGGTCCGAGTGTCCGTTGCAGAAACACCCGTGGTTGCGGAATGCGACTTAGGCCCAATCAGGTGTAAGCTTTCGGACGGACCAGGAAGGTCCTTTCTTCTCTGGTTCTCGGCGGAACACACCCCCCCCAACCAAGGTTGACTCGAAAGCCTTGCCGCTGATCGGGCCGAAGTTTGAGAGGGAATCCGAGGGAGGTTTGCAAGAAAGAAAAAAAGGAAAGAAAAAAAAGGCAAACACAACTTGATTTAACATGTTAGTGATAGGCATTTGACATTTTTGGCACATTGGAAGCAGTATGAGCAAGAAGAAAGTAATTTGAAGTTGTAATTTGATTCAATTGAATTATCCGACCGACCTTGATCCGATCAACGCCACAACAATGAACATGGTCTTTTGTTACATTATAGAAAACTGCTCATGAAAATGGGTCATTAGAGACAGTCGTTGTGATGCCGCAAGATATTACCAAGCGCGCCATCTAGATCGTTGTTGTCCTTCGCCTTTCCGTTTTGTTTGTCTTCTTTCTTACTTCCTCTCACCAGCGGCATATCTTCTCTATAATGGATATGAAAAAAATGAAAAATATAAAGACGTTTTTGTGCGACCCAATGCCTCAAAACACGCTTTGTTTGTGTGATGACTGTTCTGTGCTGCTGCGCGCGCTCCTATAAATGATCTAGAACAGGCTCTCGGTGGCTCTTTAGCCCTCCTCGACGACGGCGCGGTTGGCAATGTAGAAGCGCTCGCCCTTGTCGTCCTTCTCGTGCTCGAGGGCGACCTTGCTGAGTTGGGTGAGAACGTTCTCGATGAGGGTGTCGGTGACGCTGCGCTTCTTGCGGCCCATGTCGTTGAGGACCCGGAGGTTGGACAGGACGTAGTAGACGAGGGCCATGACGATGGTGACGGCGACCGAGTACACGAAGACGACGCAAACGGTGACGAAGTCGGTGCGGCCGTTCTCGGACAGGAAGCGGTTGATGGACGGGGGGGAGGCGGGCTCGCCACGGCCACCAGAGAACCAGCCGAAGACGCAGAAAAGAATAGACAGAACGTCGACGGCGGCGATGGCGCCAATGAGCTGGAAGGAGGGGAAGGTCTCGAAGCCACGGGTGACGAAGATGAGCCAATTCTGGGTCAGGGAGATCTCGAGGAAGAGGATCTCCTGGATGGAGCCGTACTCGTGGATGACGCCACCGTCGACAATGTACATGGTACCGCGGAGGATCCAGGTACCCATGGCGAGGAGACTGCCGAGAACGATGGAGATGATCCAGATCTTGGGGAGCTGCCACTCGACGGGACGCTTCTCGAAGTGAGCGTTGTCGTACTGTTGACGATGTTAGTCATGTGCGTGGGAGGGTTATAATATGAGTGGTACTTACAGCAACGGCGATGGTGGCCAAATCAGCAAACAGAGCGAGGAAGACGATGAGGTCGGCGCGGACAGTCTCGTTGATGATGATCATGGAAGTGACGAGGTAGATCTCCAAGTGCAAGCAAAGAGCGATACGGTACTGGATGTAGGCCTTCATGCGCTGGAAAATCTGGCGAGACAGCTTGATGGCAGAGACGATAGTGCTAAGACCGGGGGCAAGGAAGACGATATCGGCGGCGGCCTGGGCAGCCTCGGTGGCACCCTCGACGGCAATACCGCAGTCGGACTTCTTCAGGGAGGGAGCGTCGTTGACACCGTCACCAGTCATGGCAGTCAAGTGACCACGCTGCTGGAGCATCTCGACGACCTGGTACTTGTGCTCGGGGAACACTTCGGCGAAACCGTCGGCGCGCTCGCAAAGGTCGTGGATAGAAGTGCCGGCCATGTCGCTGTGGAGAAGCTTGTCGGAGTTGTAAACCTTGGTACCGAGCTGGAGCATGCGGCAGGTCTCGACGGCAATGGCGTGGGCGTCACCAGTAAGCATCTTAACCTGGAGACCGAGAGCCTGGGCCTCGAGAATGGTCTGGCCGGTATCGCTGCGAGGGGGGTCGAAGAGGGACAGCATGCCGAGCATCTCCCAGGGGCCATCCTCCTCCTTGACGGCGACGGCGAGGGAACGGAAACCACGGCGGGCGAACTCAGCGGCCTTCTCCTTGAAGAGAGCGGATTGCTCCTCAGTGCAGTCGGTGAGGGCGAGGACGGCCTTGGGGGCACCCTTGGCGCAAGTGTAACGGACACCACGGTGGGTGGCGATGGTGGTGATACGCTTGGAGACGGGGTCGAAGGGGGTGAACTTCTCGGTCTTCCAGCCGTCAGAGATGAGCTCCTTGGCCTTCGGGTAACGCTTGAGGGTGAGGACGGTGATCTTGTCGATGGGGTCCAGGGCCTTGATGTTGTGCGAAGAGGCGAGAGCGGCGACGGCCATCATCCAGTTGATGTCAACACCCTCCATGACGAAAGGCTCGCGGACGGACAGCTGGTTGGCAGTGAGGGTACCGGTCTTGTCGGAGCAGAGGATGTCGACACCAGCCAGGGACTCGATGGCAGTGAGCTTCTGGACGATGGCCTTCTCCTCGGCGAGGTAGGCAGCACCGACGGCGAGGGTGGTGGTGGTAACACAGGGCAGACCGATGGGGACACCGATGATGAGGAGAATCAGAGCGTAGTGGAGCAAGTTGACGGAAGTGCCCTCCTCGGAGACCTCAATGGAGCGGTAGAATCCACCAATCCAGGCAGCGAGGATAAAGATGATGACAAGAGCGAGAAGCGTAGTACCGATAGAGTTCATGATGGCCTTGAAGTGACCCTGGTCCTGGGCGCCCTGGACGAGGGAGGCGGTCTTTCCAACGAAAGAGGCCTGGGCGCCGTGGGTGACGATACAGAAAGCCTTGCCGCGCTTGCAACCGGTGGTGTAGTAGCAGGTGTCGGTCATGAACTTGTCGACGGCGAGAGACTCACCAGTCATGGCAGACTGGTCAACGGCGACGATGGCGTGTCCGAGCTGGGGGTTGGCGTTCTCCTCATCACCCTCCTCGAACTTCTCGCGGCGGGGGGACATGACATCCTGGGCCTCGAGCTCAGCCTTGTAGGCGGCGTAGCCGGCGGGGTTCTCGTAGTCGCAAATCAGTTGGCAATCAGCGGGGACGACGTGGCCTTCCTCAATGATGATCTGGAAAGGAAGCGTGTTAGAGACATTGCCCGTTTCTGTGTAAAGGGATTGGGAGCACTCACGATATCACCGGGCACGAGTTCACGAGCGCGGATCTCCTCTTCTTTTCCCTGGCGAACGACACGGGCCTTCATGGCGATGTCACCCTTCAGGGAGGCGACAACGTCGGCAGCCTGCTTCTCCTGGTACCAACCGACAGCGGCGTTAAGCAAAAGAATGGCGACAATCAAACCGGCGTCGAGCCAATCCTGCAGGGCGAAGGCGAGGATAGCGGCACACTCCATGACTGCATTGAGAATTAGCGTTTTGCCGGCAGTGTTTCATGGCCGTCATGCTTCGACAGGCCGCAATGGGCTTGTGCTTACCGTAGAGAATGGGACCGCGGAAGAAACCGACGAACTTGAGGAACATGTTCTCCTTCTCGGTGGTGAGTTCGTTCCAGCCTGTGTACTTTCTGCGGCGCTCGACTTCCGTGGGGTCAAGACCCTGCCTCATGTCGGTCTTGAGCCAGTCGGCGGGGGTGACGAAGCCGCTGGAGCCAGCGCCGTCGACGGCGGCCTTCTTCCAGAACATCCATCCCGGGGTCTTCTTGGCCGCAGGGGCTTCCGCCTCCTCTACTTCGGCATTGGGGTCGCGGTAGGTCTCGATGTAACGGACTAGACTGTTGTTGCGGGGAGAATAGTCAGCCTCAGCGAGCTTTTTGGGGGAGGCCGAGAGGATGAGCCAATGGCGTGTAAGACGGGCGACTTACGATCTGTACTCCTCGTTGGTACCGTTCTCGCCAGCACCGCCTTCGACCCGGTTGTTCCTGGCGCGCTCCTGGATGAAGTTGCCGGTCTCGAGGTCCTGCTCCTCATCCTCAGTGCTGATGGGTTGAGGGTAGTGCTTGTTGCCTCCTTTTCCTATTAAGCCCGCCATTTTGTATGGTGCCATAAACTGTCGGAAAAGGATTACAGTCCAGCTGTATCAGTTGAGGAGCGCAGGCAGGACGGAGGTATATATAGAGGAAAGGTCGAGGTAGAGGAGATATGGGGAGGAGAGAGGACGGAGGGGCAGAGCAGGGTGAGGAAGAAGGCTAGGCCAGAAAAGACATGAATCACGGTGGGAGAATGGGGCATATTATATTACATCTGTCAAACGGCGAGGCCGGAGTGGCCCAGGAACTTCCGCGGATGGAAACGAGAAGATGGGACCAAGGCAAGGCAAGACATGGGCAGGACCTGCTGGGCTGGCATTGTGCAATGGGTACAAAGTACAGCGCGGCAATGGAGGCAAGACGAGAGGCAAGATACTGCGGCGTCGGCGTGCGTGTGAGAAGGCGTGTGTGAGAAGGCGTGTGTGTGTGTGTGTGTGTGTGTGTGTGTGTGAGAGCTGTGTGTGTGAACAAGGGACCGGCGTGTAGCTGCGTACCCCGTCTTGCTCGGATCAACGCCAAGAGGTTGCAAGCATCAAAACAGATGCGGGTGAGGGAAAAACCCGCACACTGTGACCGGGCGGGCAGCGACGTCGATGCTATTTCGAGGCAGAAGAGACGACGGGACATTTTTGCCGCTGGGCGCCGCTGCACATTTGCCAGTACTGTGTACGTACCGGGCGTCGAGGTTACAGCCTCGAGCGCGACCTGACAAGACGAGAGACGGGAGCTGCTGGGAAGTGGCAGGCAAAGAAACGGCGTGGGCGTGGGCGCGATGGACGGTAGACGTGGGGACCTGGTCGGCGCCTTTCCCAGTCGCCGCTCTGTTGGCCTTCGATCGTCTCTGTGGAAGAATATTGGCCAGTTTCTAGCGTAAATTTGGTCTCCCCAGGTCCCCATTAGACGGGCCGACCTATCAAGACAGAGACAAGTCGCTGTCTCATCTGCCAGGATGCGAGGATGGATATCTGACAACAAGGGGAAGCCAGCGTGAGTCGTGCGTTTCGACGAGGAAACTCTCTAGTGACTTGGTCTTGTATGGGGGCAGAGCGTGGAGATGGGGGTAAACTTCAAGTCTCTCTGATACAAAAATAAATGCCTCAGTAGCACTACGGTTGTACCTGGGCTAGGCACCGCACCCGAAAAAAATTGAGGGAAAAAAAAAAAAGAAGAGGAGCCAGGCCTGGAGCTCACCTCCAGACCTTGACACAGACATAATTCCGAGATTTCGTCGAGCCTGTTCTCGGGCAACCCCCCGCGCCAGCGCCGCAGACAGCTCCAGAAGTGAGAGTCGGTTGAACGGTGTCCCATCCGTCTAGTCCTGGTTGAGCGCGGACCCGGACACCCCCCCTGCTCAAGGACATGTTCCGTGGGTTGAACGGAACAGAGAACAAGAGACGTTTGACCATCGAGGACTTGGGACTCTTGATCCCCCCCCTTCCCTCGTCCCTTCCTCCATTCCGAATCCCACTCCCACTCCCACTCCCACTTACTACACCGAAGGATGCTGTATGGAGCGAAGTGGCAGGTACGTACCTGTCTTGTGCTGCGTGCTCTTGCCTTCCCGAATCCCTCGTCCGGCCCCTTGGTCGCGACAGTTTCAGCTCTGCTCCGAAACCCACATCACGTGACCTACCGCCGTCGCCGCCACGCCGCTTCGCTGCATCTTCTTTCTTCGACGACGACCCAGGCCGGGCCCAGGTCTTCGTTCAGGTACGCAATACCTGGCTGGCCGCACTAACCACACACGATAAGCACCCAGCACCAAAGAGGCAGGAGGTACCTTAGTACCTCGACCTTTTCGCCCTTCTCTACCGAGACCCTTTTTTTCCTACCTTGGCACCCACTCACGAGCCCGCGTCTGATTTGCACACTTGCATATCTGCACTTTCTGCACTGACAATGGCACTTGCACATTGCATCCAATAGGACTCTCCATCTCCTGTCTGCGCCTCTCTCTCTCGCTCTCGCCCGTCCTCTGTGGCTCTGTCCTCAAAGTCCCTCACTGCAACGTCGAACGAGACCCCCAACTCCGTGCTGCTTCCGCCGTACAGTGCGGACGGGCACTCGGATAGACACCGGGATAGAAGCCTCTGCCAAGCCTCTGAACTGAGATGTCCACGTCTGGCCGTAGGACGGCTGCGATGCGGCCTCTGGTCTTTGAGAGGTCGAGAGGTCGCGCCAAGAAAACCCCGGAATAGACCGCGGCGAAGGGTGTTTGGCTATGTGGTGTGTGATATGGTCCTCCATGGTAACACACATAACGGTCGGAGCCCCTCCCCATCCCACCCCCCCTGGCCGACGAATCGCCAAGTCTTTCCTTGGAAACACTCTTGTGCGATCTGCCTCGCGACGGGCCTTGGGTTGAGGCTATACGTGAACCATCCTGTCCTGTAGCATGTTGCGCGTTTGCCTTAACCTTTATTTTATTTTTCCAATCATTCTTTTTTAAGCTCGTTTCTTTTTTGTTGGGCACTGCCGTCCCTTCATTAACCCAAAACTTGACAAAACATAGAATGGGGAGAAACCCGCCAAGACCCCTTCCCCAGCCAAGACAAAACCCAACTCGGATCGAATGCAATGGCATCGTCAAACGGGATAGGTTTCCTGGAATAGCAGCCCGGTGATTTGTGCATGGTGTACTTTGAGCATGTACTTCTGGACGCACGCGGCAAGGCGACAGAGTGCGTACATGACATTACGTACAGTACGCACACCGATTGATGTTGGGGCATATGGGGAAATGGGGAAGAAATCACCGCAATATTGGATGGGGGTGGGAAATGAATCGGCGTTGACTTGCGGGCCAAGACCAGGGAAGACAAAAAAGCGAGGCAGATTTTGTGCATGCGGACAACGCATACGATGCGGGATATTGGCCTTGTGTATGCTTCATTTGCTTCATGGACAGAGTCCCGACCTGCGTGCCCTGCCTGGCCTCGGACGGACTGACTTGACATTGATCCCACAGGACCAAGACGCCGCTTGGCTCGTTCTGGATGGCATGGGCTTGCTTTGGGGCGTGTGGGAGTGTGGGAAGCGGAAGCGCGTACCGAGGATACGGGAATAATACGCAATTCGCGCAATTCACGCAAAGCTCGGCACGCAGGATAAGGACCAACAACGAAAACAACAGCAGCAACAACAACCGCTGAGCACGGAAGTCGGAGGCGAGATGATGATGGGTGATGGATTGGATGGATGAATGCTGTTCAATGTGGCAAGTCGGCCGGTCCGTACACCGGTCAACCTGTTCGCGAGTTCCCCCTTCCATCCGCCCATGCGACTATGACGGCCGACGAAGCGAAAAGAGAAAGAGAGTGAGTGGGAGAAGGAGGTGCCACTCTCTCTAGTCAGGTCCAAATCCGAAGGTGACGACCCATTCGCAACAACGTGGCCACTGACACTGTCCACACACATAGCGAGATTCGTGCGAACAAGACCCGTTTGACGATCCGTCAAATCTCTGGCGCAATTCAAGGTCGCGCGCTCCGCTCGTCAGCGGCTGGGAGGAGCTTGTCCGACCTTGGAGGGATGGATGGGGGGGCAAGCCTTCCGACTCAGGACATTGGGAAACCGTTCGCGCAATGCATTGCTGGGCCCTTTTTTTTCTTTTCCCTCTCTCGCTTCCTCCCACGGTGCGCGGGACCCATGGAGATGCCTGCCACGATAGGACAGGCACCGTAAGCACAACGACATAGCAGCGACGGCGCTAATATGAAAGAAGAGAGGAGTTCCTGGGGCAGTAGAGCTGACGAGGAGGGTCCTTGCTAACTGACAAACCCCCTGCAGAGCCCCAGGGAACCCACCCGATCCCCATCAATCCCCTCGATCGAGCAGGGGTTCTGGAGCTTCAGTTGCCGTGGGGTTTTGACGTGCTACGAGCTGAGGCCAGAGATACGCGCGGGTAGTGGCCGAGTCTGCCTCTCGTGTGTGTGTGTGTGTGTGGCTCTGTCTGTCCTGCCTGCTTCTCTCTCTCGTTCTGCCTCCTCCCTCCCTCTATCTGTTGACGTTTTGAAGGTGGCCAGTCCGGGAAGTCAATTTGTCGTCCGACCTTTTTGTCCTGCCCGATTGCGGCTGTGAAGAGTTCCATTGATGTGCTGGACCTGCATGGCGGGTGGGCGGGAGAGTTGTGCAAACGTCGTCATGATCGAAGGCATGTCAGAAAGTATGAGAAAGATAGCCATGACCGGCCATTGTCAAGCATGGGAAACTGCAGCAGCAGCAGCAGCAGCCACGCCCGCACGGTAGAACCCCCAGACACAGGGAGAGAGACCTGGGCGGAAAAGACGACACTAGGCTATAGCGAGCCAGCTTCAGCCAAGCCTCTGTCTCTCTCTCTCTCTCACCCCAAGTCAGCTCTGCCAAGAAAGCGTCGGGACTGGGCCC